TGTCATGATGTTTGACGGGCCATGTAGAGGGCTCATGTCAGGGAATCTAGAAATGTGCTGTGATGGCTACAGTCCACTTTGCTCCCAATTCTGCCACCATGGGCAATCCACCATGCCTATTTCTATCTCTGTTTTAGGGCTGCATGGATTGACAAGTGTCGCCCCAACTTGCTCATCACAGAATCCACGTACGCCACAACTATCCGGGATTCCAAACGCTGCAGAGAGCGAGATTTCCTGAAGAAAGTTCATGAGACTGTGGAGCGTGGTGGGAAGGTACTGACTGTAGCCGGCTCTGGGTGTGTGCCTGCTCTGGCCACACAGTATGGTCTCCCAGCAGGCTTCACTGCCCTCCATGTGGTCAGGGTCTCTGGGTGTGGGGGTTACTGTTTATTTGGTGCTGAGATAACAGATTCCAGAGTCTTCTATTTCCTCATGTTTGTATCCCATGAATGGCTGTTCAGGAGCCTCTCACAGTTCCTGCTGTCTCTATGTGTAGCGTGTGTGTGTGTGTGTGTGTGTGTGTGTGTGTGTGTGTGTGTAAAAAACCCTGTAGTTCTTAAATGTCTGGCTATTCCTTTGCAGTAATGCTATCTGAATACTATCATTCAGCCTGCCAGCAAGGGTGTATATAGTGAGCATCTTGCTACTTGCTGTGATCAGGGATGGGTAGTGTGGCCAGTGGCTCCCACCTGAATCAGCCTCACCTGCCCTCAGGTGCTGATCCCTGTGTTTGCGCTGGGCCGGGCACAAGAGCTGTGCATCCTGCTGGAGACCTTCTGGTAGGTACAAACAGGAATATTCCAAGGTGGGCAGGAAGGCATGGAACAGGCTCTGCATAGCTGATTCCTCATACTGCCAGGCACAGTGGAACTGTGGAGAAGTCAAGGCAGCAGTGACTACCACTGGGTACTGTATTTCAGGATACAATACTATTGACCCTGCTATCTTGGGTGGAGCTGTGCATGTACTGGGACATCACATTTGAACCATTATCTGCGGGCTGTATTTGTCACTGGATGGACTACTGAATCTCCTTATATGAGCTCTGGGGAACCCTACCACTCCCATGTTTGTTTTATAGGATATAAACTGAGAGGTCTGGCCTGGTGGTCATTAGGGTAGAGACAGCACAGGGTTCAGTTCAAGGGACATAGCAGTAGAAGGCACAGGGCTACAAGTTGCAGGCTAACTCTGTCCTCCCTGAACTGACTGGGCTGGGGGACACACAGGGAACGCATGAACCTGAAGGTGCCCATCTACTTCTCTACGGGCCTGACAGAGAAGGCCAACCACTACTATAAGCTCTTCATCACCTGGACCAACCAGAAGATACGCAAGACATTTGTCCAGAGGAACATGTTTGAATTTAAGCACATCAAAGCCTTTGACCGAACATTTGCTGACAACCCAGGTCCCATGGTAAGGCCCTACCAATGCAGCTTCTCATCTGACCTTAAAGGATCCCTGCTCATGGGGTTTCAGGAAAGAGCCTCTTTCCTGCAATAACCTGTTGATTATTGCAGCCCTGGGAAGAAAGGTCTACTCTTCTGACCCTTGTCAATCCTGCAGGTTGTGTTTGCCACACCTGGGATGCTGCATGCTGGCCAATCTCTGCAGATCTTCCGAAAGTGGGCAGGAAATGAGAAGAACATGGTAAGGGCGTGGGGCCAATTCCCAAAGTGGGTGGGGGCTTATCTTAGGGAACTGGAGTACAGAAGGACTAGCCCGTGAACTTTCTGTTTCTTAATCCCATAATGACTTTGCTGTTGCTGTGGTCTACCAGCAGCAGCCCAGACTGTGCAACTGGCCTGCTAACACAGACAGCCCCTTAGCCTCCTGAGCATGGCTGGCTCCGCTGAGTATTCAGGTCAGGGATTGTCCCAAGAGGAAATGTTTATGTTGGAAGGTCACCTCTGCTTTCAGGTCATCATGCCTGGCTACTGTGTGCAAGGCACTGTGGGCCACAAGATCCTTAGTGGGCAACGAAAACTGGAGATGGAAGGGCGTCAGGTGGTGAGTACCTCCCTGTTCTGGGCTCAGCAGGGCTCCCAGGCTTTTACTGCTGCTGCTAACTGCCTGCATCTTGTGACGCCACAGCTGGAAGTAAAGATGCAAGTGGAATACATGTCATTCAGTGCCCATGCTGATGCCAAGGGCATCATGCAACTGGTGGGACAAGCAGAGCCGGAGAGTGTGCTGCTGGTGCATGGAGAGGCCAAGAAGATGGAGTTCTTGAGGCAGAAGATTGAGCAGGAATTTCGTAGGCAGCTGGTGGGCAGGGATGGCCTGTGGGATGGTACAGGCAAAGCTGGCAACCTAGACTGAGACTCTGTATCACTTTCCCCAGGAGTCAGCTGCTACATGCCAGCCAATGGCGAGACAGTGACGCTGCCCACAAGCCCCAGCATTCCTGTAGGCATCTCCCTGGGACTGCTGAAGCGGGAGATGGTGCAGGGTATGAAGGGGAGACTGGGGCACGGGCCGAGAGAGGCAGGTAATTGGTGGTTTGTGTTGACTACAGTATTCCTTTACTCACAGGACTGCTCCCTGAGGCCAAAAAGCCTCGGCTCTTGCATGGCACACTAATCATGAAAGACAATGTAAGTGTGTAAAACGTGGTGGAGGGGGGTAGCATTCATACTTCCTCTGACCAGCTTGCCCTTGTCCCACAGAGTTTCCGGCTGGTATCCTCAGAGCAAGCCCTCAAAGAGTTGGGCCTGGCTGAGCACCAACTGCGCTTCACCTGTCGTGTGCACCTGCAGGACACACGCAAGGAGCAAGAAACAGCCCTACGTGTGTACAGTCACCTCAAGAGGTGCGCCCTGGCCTTGCCCCTTCCCCTACAGGCAGGGTGAGGCAGGGATCTTACTGTGCCTCTCTATAGCACCCTCAAGGACCACTGTGTACAGCACCTTCCTGATGGCTCTGTGACTGTGGAGTCCATTCTTATCCAGGCTGCTGCTCACTCGGAGGACCCTGGTACTAAGGTACTATTGGTCTCCTGGACCTACCAGGTAAGGAAGATGGGTGTCAGTGGTTTGCCTGGGGCTCACTTCCTTGGCATTAGGTTGTCCGTGGGTAACTGTGCTTCCCCTTCTTCTAGGATGAAGAGCTGGGAAGCTTCCTCACAGCACTGCTCAAGAATGGCCTTCCTCAGGCACCCAGCTGACCTGCAACCTCAGTAACCCACCACTCTGTCTCCTGTTTGCCCAGCAGAAGGACCAGGACTTTGGCTTTGGGAAGTGGGTGCCCTGAGACAGATCTGTCACAGGCTGGCTACAGTAATAAACAGGCCTTTTTTTACTCTATGCCTTTTATTCCTACTCCCTTGTCCCTAGAAGATGGGGCTCCCAGGAAAGCAGAATCAGAAGCTACCTGGGTGCTTACAGCTGTTTTCTGCCTGGCACCCCATCATTAGTGACAAAGTGATGTCCACGGTGGACAGACTGGGGAGGTGGGAGCTGCAGGAAGGTAGGCAGGACTACCAGAGCCCCACAGAGCTGTGGGTTAATCTCTGCTGAGTGCAGTAAACGTTGAGTAAGGCTGACAGCCAGACAGTCTGCTGTTTGGCTCTTCACCTCCACTGAAGGTACAGTCAGCTGGTTTCCACATTAGACCTTACAGGGCTCAGGATGTAGGACCTATATATAGATAGACCGTCGGTCAGAGCAGAACTCCTACAGTTGCATCCAGAGAGACCCCACCTGTGGACCACTCAACCCAGGCCACCATGCTTTTTGGTCACTGGTCCCCAACTGAAGTCTTTTCTCCCACTGTCACTGGTTTCCCCTAGGTGCTTGGATTCTCATTTAGTACAGTGAGGGGTTTGACTGCCTTTAAAAGACCCCTCCCCTCAGTGAGGACCCAGGTCTTTCCCATCCCATCCCCTCTTACCGAAATCATCATATAGCACTGACTTCAAGAACAAGCCACGGGCTGGGGCAACTCGAGTCTGATACTTGCCCAAGGGATCGTGACTCTCCAGAATGGCTTTCACCTGTGTAGGTGTCAGAGTCCCTTGCCCCACAGCCACCAGCACGGCCGTCATCCTCCGCACCTGCAGTAGAGAGCTGAGATGGTCACAGGTGTCTATCTGATGCACCTTGGGAGGGTGTAGTACAGCCTACCTGTCGATACAAGAAAGACTGGCTTTCAAACTCCAGCGTCCAGAACTGCAGCTTCCTAGGAACACAGAGGGCTTTGATGTCCAAGCTACAGGCCAGCCCCAGCCATCCTAGCCCACCATGTGACCTCAGACAAAATAAAGATTGAAGTTCTGGTTTAAAGGCTCATCCATCCAGGGTAGGTTCTTGCCTAGTTGACCACCAGTTCCAGAGATCGAGTGGGTATTGCATGACTTTTCTTGGAGTCTATATAAGCCATGTAAGCAAACAACTATGTAACAGAGTTATCAGCCTGTGCACCGGAGATAGCAATTGCTTTGAGCTTTCCTTCTGTGGAGAGGCCACAGTATGGGTGTGGAGGTAGGACAGAACCAGCCCACCTATCAAGACAGGAACCCTGGCCAAGTCCCACCTCCCCTGGGGGCTGGCATTAGCTGCAGTGTTGTCAAGGTCAGCAGTTGGTTCCTGGTGGAAAGCAGAGAACTTACAGTCTGTCAAACTGGACTGGAGCTACTAGCTCCAACGAAACCTTTTCAGTGACTGCCAAACCCATCTGCTACAAGAGCTATGGGCATGGCACGGTCCTCAGAAAGGCAACATTATCTATCTACCCTGTGCTCCTCAGCCAGACTAGAAAGCTACTGGTTCATTGCTTAAGTGGCCAGCACCTTTCACCTTCCAGGACTTATGGATGAACAGTATATCAGTTTAGCATCAGCCTGCTGTTTTTATTATTTTGTTTTTTTCAAGACAGGGTTTCTCTGTTTCTCTGTGTAGCTCTTGCTCTCTCAGAACCAGATCTGTAAATGGAGCTGGCCTCAAATTCAGAGATCAGTCCGCCTCTGCCTCCCCTCTGCTGGGATCAAAGGTATGCACCACCACCACCCAGGGCATCATCCCACTTTTATGGGATGATTATGAGAACTAATTTCACCCTGGTGGCCTCTAGACCAGCAGCAGACCATAGTGCAAAGCACTCTTCTCACCTGCTCTCCTGGGGGAGGACAAATGGGCTGGCTGGACCAGAAGACACAGAGACTCTTTGTAGTGTGCGCACGGGATTTGTGGTTGGGCTGCCAGCAGACTGGAAAGCACTGAAATCATGTGTCCCAACGAGGTGCTGGGCAGCCTCCTGCATGGCAGCCACATTCAGGCACCTGCAGAGGCAGATAAGCATTGAGGAGGGCCCAGCCAGATGATGGTGAACCTTTTCTTCCCATTCTTAGTTCACTCACTTTGTCTGGAGAGCCCAGCATACATTCTGCTCAAACACAGGCAGCTGATCAGGCCAGGGGCAGCCTGTGGCCAGACGGTATAGGTAGGTTCTGGAGGTGGCTGCACGGCGAGCATGGAAGTCACTGGGCACTCGGAAGGCCTTCAGTACGCTGTGGCAAACAGATCTCGCTCATCCCGGGAAATCTCCCACTCACCTCTAAGTTGCCCAGAATACAACGTCTTCTGAGGTTCTGAACCTCAGCCTTCCTTCACAGTAGGGTGTGGGGTATATTAGTAAAGAACAAAGAACAGAACCATACTCAATCCCCGGCTCACCGAATGTCGCGGTGCTTCAGGTGGGTGTTGAGGGCCTGGGTCACGACCTCCGGGGAGTAAGGCGGCAGACCTGAGCGGCGACAAATGTCCAAGTGCGCCGCGTTGCTCAGGGCATGCACTCCGGCATCAGTGCGGCTGGAGATAGTAAACCTGACGGGCTCGACGGAGTTCAGGCGCTTGGCGGCCTCCTGCAGGGACAGGGTGCGGGCAGGGATTGGGACCGTCCGCTGCTTCTCCCCGCATTGTCCCCAAGCCGATCATCGCTCTAACCGGGAGAAAACAGCTCACCTCCAGGAAGTTCTGCACCCCAACAGCGCGATGATTACCCCTCACGGCCGCGACCCCACTGCGGAGAGATACAGGAGGGAGTTATCGGTAGCGTCTGCCGGACAAGTCCCGCCTGGAGTCTCGGCCCCTAAGGGCGTCTCGCGAATCCCCGGCGAGCCCGAGTGGAGACACCGGAGGTGATGACAGGGAAACGTACTTGAAGTCCGTGCCCAAATACTGGAAGAACACGAGGTAGCGCGCACGCACAGGACCCACAGTCCCGCAGGAACCCATGGTGGAGTAGCTGGTGGGCGGGGCGGTTGCACGTGGCCCGCGGTCAGCCCTGCCCAGCCGCGAGGCGCCTGCGCACTCACTCGACTCACCCCGCCCGGCCTCCGGGACCGAGCAACGGAGGCGGGGCCAAGCTTAGGGAGCGGGTGCGAAGTGCCGTCCTCCGGGCCCGACGGGGCTCACTGTCCTCTGCCTCACAGGGCGCGGCGACGGGTTGTTTCAGCACGAGTGTCCTTAATTTGTTCACCTCTTCACTCCCGATCTTCCCGCCACCGTCCTGTCCTCCCAGAATGTGTCTGTCTACGCGTTCTGACCGAGTGCTCCCAAATGTTTTTTGTAAATTCCCTGAGTTTAACCAAGACAGGGATGCCCGAAGTGAGACAGCCGCGCCCTTCCCTTTCCCGCAGCCGGGCCGACCTCTCCGAATCCCAACCGCCGCGGCCGGCCCAGCTCTCTGACCCCGGTGGCTGAGGACAGAGGACAGTGACAGGCAACGGGGTGCAGCGGTGCATTTAGCGACGCTCCCTGGAGGTGACAGCGGGTGGTGCAGGCTGCGGCGGACTTTGGCGACGCTCCCCGGCGGTGACAGGCGGGGCGGGGCAGCGGCGCGCCG